AAATTTACTCAACTAGGCATCATTCAAATTAACATTTGTCAGCAAGGTATACTTGTAATCTTAACGCCAATGATTTTTCCCATAGGATTGGAACTAATGTTATGAATAGTTTCTTTTTAAACCAAAGTAAATAGAGCGAGGTAAATAGCTAGATGGTGTTTATATCCGTTACAACAAATGATGTTTATTATCAGTACGGGGTTGTGGATCTTGTTGAATTTCATTGAAACCATGAACCAACTTAAGCCAGGCCACTATTGGAAACCTGGGGTCATGGATGAGCATTATTAAGGAATTACATACAAGGATGAAACAAATGTTTAGTGCCTACAGGTTTTTAATGGCAACCCAAATTAGATCGGTTCATGATTTCAATGAAATTCAACAATCACCGCAACACTATACGGAAAATTATCATGTGCCCACTAGTGACTAGTTTCCAGAGGAAATTCCCGGAGTTCCAGTGAGAAGCCACAACCAATAGAGTCCAATCATGTCATCTGCGAGACAGTTATTCACTAAAAGCAATGCAAGATAGTTGCACAATATCAAGGATCGATTTAAATAAAACTTGTACACTATTCAATACCGGTTCAGTGATCCAGTTAGTTAGCCTACAACACAGGACCAGGCACTTACATGCATCGGTCCAAGTTACCATACCTCATTAGCACAGCAAGATGAACACCGGATTCATAGAAGTGGTTAATTCAGTGGTGGCAATATTTAAAAGAAAGATTATGTATAAGGAAATAGTTCAGAAAGAAGGAATTAGTTGGTAGAAAGATATGAAGCGATTTTAATCTGATGGTTCAGGGGAAGACAAAGAGTGTATACACCTACGACATTGTGATCGATTCCGAGCCATGTCACCCAGAGTCTCCAGCCATTGGTTACGATAGTCACGCGGACCCCAACCAAGTAGTCTGCATCTACCAACATGGCTCAGACCAGAAGTTGGTGACTTCAAGCATTGATACCAAGTTTTGGTTTGGCCGCCTCTAACTTTCTTCCACCCGTCTCCACATCTAGTCAGCATTGTGCGTCGTGGTAAGCGGTGTTCAGGCATACGCAACACGTGGCCCAACCATCTCAGTCTATGAAGATTCAGAAGCTCATCAACTGATTTACCATCATTCCCTAATACTCTGCGTCTAACCTTACTATTACTTACCTGGTGATCCCAGCAGATGCGAGAAATATTTTTAAGACATCTGTGGTCAAATATTAGTAGCTTACGAATATATTCTACTCTTAGTAGCTACGTTTCGCAACCGTAAATTAGAAAAGAACGAACTACCGCGCAGTATACTCATCCCTTAATTGATAGACGGATATCTCGCCTTCGCCATAGGTGATGTCATTTGGCAAAAGCCAAACGAGCTTTTCGAATTCATGATGAGATTTCGTCAGACACCGTGATTCGGAGGTTTAGCATTTGCATGGGACTTAAGATCCTAGGTTTGACCCTCAGTTTATGTGTTCAAATAAAGTATAATTATAAAGAGTACATAGCATTTCAACAGCATATTCAATCGGGTTTCTATTTGATAATAACATCAAATAATTTCAGTGACACAAGTACACTTCTAAACAACAGTAGCCTAACGATAAAGGTTGCCCTATTCTGGTTGAATATATGTTTAACTTCCGATGTATTGAAATTGAAAAAAAGATTGATTATATTCTTTAGTTATATGTAAAACACTATTTAATTGTTATGGGATATTTCTCATTTAGACAGTTGATTGTTAAATATAGTTAACATGGATATAAATTGAAGGTATTTCAAAGTCGATAGAATTTGAAGCTAATTTATACTATAAACAAACTACAGTAATATAATCATTAAAACCTAGGGATTGCTAGGTAGAAGTATTATACAGTTTTGTGATGAGTCAGCAGTCTGTACTTGTTGTTCCATATGGGAGCCGCCAAACGCCCTGGTACGGCCGAGAATGGGGAGAGTCAGCACTCCCTCTTCGAATGCTCTCACACAGCCATGTGCATACAACCACTGACACGGAAATCCTAAAAGAAGGCATCACACACATATGCCCCACATAAATCATTAGATTTGTTTGAGAGCTAGGATACCGCTCGGGTGCCCAAACCGAAACAGACGATTTTCATATGGGACCACACACGGAAACTTTGACCTAAAGGTCTAATCCACAAGGCAGTGTAGCAACGTCAGGAGATGCAGCACCATGTTAGATGGTGACCAACAATTGATTCATACGCCATTTGTTCCTTCAAGATACTGAAGCCCATTTACACCATTAGTTTGGAATCAGGGTTTTCCAACTCCCCTAGGTGTATCCCCAATATCCACCAACCTGGTTAAAGCGCCGAACATTCGCATTTCGTCCTCTCAGTTTCGTGAACAACACTCGTGGTGCGAGAATGCAGTGAGTATGACTTCCCTATCAGTGGTTGTATACACGTGGCCATTTGAGAGCATTTCTAGAGGGAGAGAGGACTCTCCCCACTCTTGGCAGTACCAGGGCATTTGGGAATCAAATCTCCGGGCCAGTAGAATCAAGGATTTTCGAATATACTCGCCTTCATTTAGAGGGTTAGTACAAAACCTTAACTGAAATATGAAAAGAAGTCGTTTGTGAATAGTAAAATTTGCTTTCTATCATTCAGCTTTATTCATCACACAACTAACTACCGAAAAAACCTCAACAAATTAGAAGGTGGACATAACAACGTGAAATTTTAATGGAAGACAAGGAGAGATAGGTTGCTACACCATATTATCAACATAGTAGGATGAAACTATCAAGACAGATAATGCTACAGAAATAAAAGTAGTAACAGTATCAGTGTCGATAGAAAAGACTACACACAGACAATACGATTGGCGAGAAATGATTGAGTATTTTAGGACAAAGGGTGAATGTGTTTGAACTATTTCGACCAATTATGAACCATATCTTCCAGTGACTTCAACCATTGGTTACGATAATCGCGTGAAACCTAATCAAGTAATCTATATATCTAGCATGAATTGAACCAACAGCCAATAACTTCCTGAAATGTTCTTATGTCCTGATTACGTCACTTCCAGGATTTCACCAACTAATATCAAAAGTCAAGGCAAATGGCAGTTGAGCTCATGCAATAAATGTCCGAATCATCTCAGTTAATAAAGAGTGTCCGCCTAAGAACTAGGACCAAATGAGGATTATAAACCAGTATGAGGAATTATAATTATAATTTATAGTTGATGGTTAAAGTTAAGAATTAGATTTAGGGAGTGGGATTCATCACCAACTGACATCAACTAAAATGCCAAAACTCTATTTAGTCAAATAGATGAGTGGATTTCGCGCCAAAATCCAAGCCTTGTTATCTTATACTTGATTAGTCCATCCATAAATAATAATCTCACCGACTTTCAATTTTCACTGTTTGTGTTAATTGTGATTATCTTCCTTTAACTTCCTCCTAACTTACTCCTACATTAGTAGGTAGCGCACATCATGGCAGGTGATTATTGAGCATGCATAATACACGCATTAAACAACGTAGTCTAAAGACGTTACATAATATAGTTAATTGTTCTGGTATTTCCACCTTAGGATCTTACATTCAATATCAAATTTACTAATTTGATGATTATTATTGTTACTACTCAGAGTATTAGGTAAAGATGACGGTTAAGTTGGCGAGATTGTGAACCTTTATCGACCAAGGTGACATAGATATGCGATACGTATGCCAAACCACTATCTTCCTCGGTGTAATGTTTACTGGTTTGGGAATAGATTATAAAACTGTTAAACTGAAATGTTTCATTACGTATGAACAACGTGATCGAGGTCATCTTGATTATCTTAGCCAAACGTTTGGAGTTGTTGGGTGACATATTTCAGAATTGGTCACTTTTTGTCTTCCCATAAATATCGAGTTTTAAAACTATTTTGTATTGTTTATTCTGCGAATTTATTCTCATATTGTCTATGTCTAATCGTTTGTGCCTCTATTACTGTTATCACAATTGATTGATCAGTGGGTGGTGATCGATGTCATGTGTGTCAAGTTCTTTTTAGTGCAGATCGAATGCTATCGACCAAGTTGCAATGTGGCCACTAGTCTAGGTGACTCGACATGTCGTACACTATTTTAAGATAAGATGATGGTTGGAAGTAGTCAACAGGAAATCCTGGACGGGATCGAGTCCGTCAAGGAGCATCAGTTCCCTCAAGATTACAGGTACACCCTACTGTCGAGTGCCAAATAGCACAAAGCTCGGGTCCAGGGTTTCCCGTTAACTACTTCCAACCACCATCTTATCTCAGCTGTTATCACCTTTATTACTACAGTATCTGCCTTGATCATTTCATGTTACTGTCTTGATATAATATGGCAAATTGAAACGATCCATATACGTGTCAGGTAATTTTCTTACAAACTCATATTCATAAAAAAGTTAAAAAAGAAACAAACAGATCAGTCTTGTCATCAACTTATTACTGTTGATAATTGGCGGGTTGGATAACTTGTAAAACATTGCTTATTCATTTTATTACAAACTAACACCATTTAATATATAATACAAGTTCATAATAAATATTAATATGAATGGATTATGAAGATTGGTTTATATTACTATCTGATCTTAGAAAATCAGAAACTACTGAGCAGCTGATTCAACCCAATATGGGACTTCTCAGAATTGTATATTCACAACCAAACCTAGGGTCGAACTCAGGACCGTAGCTCCTGTCGTTAATACTTAGCCTTAAACACATGAAACATTGAAGTTAAATTAACTGATTCTATGGTTAACCAGTCACAGTGAGACCTGAAGATTCTAAATTTAATCAGAAATGGGCTAATGGATGAACACTGGGAAAGAAGTTTCAAACTAAGCTGAAACAATTGTCAAGCTTTTCTTTGTTTTCAATGATTGTTTAACTAAGGTTAGTACATGATATGAATGATAGTTAATATCTTTTTTTTATTATAAAAAAAGTCAAGAAACTTACAAGATCATGGTTATAATTTTTAGATACTCCCTCCGTATTCACATTATTATTATTATTATTATTGTTACTAACTAGACAAGCTAGTTCATGATTCTGATCCAATCGATCATAGGTAAGATTTGCTGTTTGCATAAAAAATTTATGTGAATTTGATTGTGACTGTTGATAATGTCTTACAATTCCAATAGATTTATTTAATCTATCATTGGTAGTATCATTTGATGGACTAACAACATCTTCAACATTATCATCATCATCATCATCGCCATCCATTATAACATCAACCGATGTATCACTATTTCCACTAATCTCTTTATCCAATTCATATTGATTCGTTGAATAATCATTGATATTATTAGTATTGAATGTATTTAATAATGATAATTTTGATTTTCTTGATTTTCTATCTGATTTATAATTAATCAATACATTATTATCATTTACTTCATCATTATCATTATCATCATCATCGCCATCGTTTTCTTCAAACTCTTCTACTTCATGTATAATATTTGATTCTGAATGTTCTAAACGACGTCGTAATTCTGCAATAACACTATGTAATTCAGTTAAACGATCTTCATAACGTGATACTTGATTAGTTAATTCATTGCGTAATTGTTCTTTTTCACGTTGTAAACGTTGTACTTCACGATAATTCATATCTCGACTTGTCTATAGTTAATTAGTGAACAAAAGTATATATGTATAAAGTCAAACTTGATTGAAATTATTAATAATCAGGTGGAATAAGAAATGGTTATTATGTATTCACCATAATGTAAAGTCCCCGGTTTCCCCCCAAATGCCCTGGTACGGTCGAGAGTGAGGAGAGTCAGCTCTCCCTATTCAAATGCTTTCACATAGCCACGTGCATAAAACTACTGACACGGAAGTCACGAGTGTTGTTTACCGAGTTGATAGGAAGAAATGCGAATGTCCGTCAGGCGCTTTAACTGAATTGGTGGACACGGAGAGTCCACCTAAGGGAGTTGGAAAACCCTGATTCCGAACATGGTGAACATGGGTTCAAGGATCCTAAGGAACCAAATGGCGTATGAATGAATTGTTGGTCACCGACTACCATGGTACTGCATCTCATAACATTGTGGATTAGACATTTGGGTCAAAGTCTCCGTGTATGGCCCCCTATGAAAACCATCTGTTTCGGCTTGGGCACCCAAGCAGTATTACAGCCCTCACATAAATTGAATAATTTATGTGGCGCATAACTGTTTGGTGAATTCTTGTACCAATGTTTGTGTGTTTAAATCTATAAATAATAAATAGTCTCAGTAATTTATAGTTGATAACTGAGTCATGAAGAAAACCAATGAAATAGGGTAGTTGTTTGAAATTCGAAGCAATAGCTCAGTAATTAAAGTATTTAACTTGTGATTTTGAGAGCATTTGGTACGGTTCATGGATACTTCAAATGTATGCGGAATCATGAACTGGATTATTAAATGAAAAAAAAATTGAACATTCATATTATTTGGTACTTTGATAATAGTAGGCTATTTTGTTTAGTACATATCTTTCCACATCTAAATAGATCAATGAAAGCATAACAGATCTTTTTCCCGAAATATGCGTTTTTCCTGGTTACTGGTTTATTATGCTCATTATCGCCTAAGATCATTGACAATATTCTTAAATGACATGATCTATAAATATTTAAATAATTTAGGGTCGTTCACAATAGAATGGAGTGGTTATGTATTTTGGAAAACTCTGAGTGTATTAAAATGTTAAAAAAATAAATTAGTTGAGGTTAATAATGACACATTGATCGTTCTTCTCGTATATCGTGGACGGATTTCCATATCCTGAAAAATGTATCAAGCCACTGATAACCACAGAGTACCATAAAGGATGGTGTGGAAGCAAGTTAGAGATATGTCCAAGTGAAATAAGATGGTATGATATTAGTTGGTAGTAAAGTCAGGTTTTTAAATGTCTGAATCTTCTGAACACCTATTAGCGTACTCTTGTGCGGACATCCGTTTCTAACAAAACTTCTGTCTACAATGTTTCTATCAATCAATCATCATTTACTCGAGAGCTGTTAATGATATGGGAAGAGTTGACGTTCACCCTCTGATAACATACTAGAAGGAAACTTCTTATTGAGGAACGTTAGTTATGAATAAGATCAATATTGATGGTCATTACAATTTTGGAATGTAGTTGTTATTAATTGTGTTAAGTCTATAGCTTCAGATCCGTGGATAAATTTGGAATATGGTATTTTTAGGGCCACCACTCGCTGACTACTCTTTCTGTCTGTGAAAAGCTACAATGCCTGAAAATGCTGGTTAACCTCCGGGAACATCTCACAACCATTACACTTTAGTACAGATGGTGGCATGACTAATTTCTCATGAGCATAACGCTGTGACATTGTAAGTCTTAACCGAATGTGTGTTCTTTTAAAAAAATGATAATTCACTCTGTGATTTTTGGTAGCCTACTTTTATGAGGGTTAAATAGGCTACATGAAGTTGACAAATAAGTTATGTATAAACCGGATGGTTTATGCCAAATATACATTCATCGGACTTCTGTTAAAGAACAGGTAACTTATAGGTACTGATACATTTACAAGAAGTTTCTGTCCCAATGCTATTTATCATAAAAAATAGGATCAGGAATATGTTAGAAAGAAACAGGGTCAATAAAGAATGAACTTTTAGAAGTCAGAGAAGAACACTCATTACAAATTACCTGTAATCCTTGTAGTCTGTGAGATAGATCACGAATTTCGGAACGTAATTGAGCCGTCCGTTGTACATGTAGAGTATTCGCACATTCAAATAAATGTCGAACATTATCTAAAAAGTGATTTGACTCAACTTCTTTTGATTTTATACCAAATGATTCTGCTTCTATATGCCTTGGCAAATTACTTAATTTATCTACAGACTGAATATTTATTGCATTAGTCAGTTTTTGATTCTGTAAGTCTTTTGTAGAATTATCCATATTAGTGACAGATAATAAATTGAATTCATTTGTCATTGTATCATTTTCAAAATTATTTCTTATTGAATTCAAAGGTAATGGAAATATAATTTTATATAAATCAGGGAAATCACGTTGCATTAACAAGTGTAAACTTTGCGGTTCACCACAAAGATCTTGAGCTCCAGAATCATATTCTGCGCCTAAGTAAATCAACGAAAATGATAGAAAATTTTGAAAAGTTAATAAAACAAAGTACAACTCCGTCAAATAGGTTACAGTTGAAGTGGAAGGTGATAATTAATTCCACTTCAAGCGAATTCTAATCAAATGAATATTGCTAACGATAATTAAATACCAAAGGTTATAAAGTATTTATAGAGATGTAGGAAGATTGCATTATTGACAATATTAATTTAGACGCTGGTACAGAAGTGTGGATGACCAAAATTTGTCGGTTGCTGGAGTAATTTAAGGTAAATTATTTCTGAGGAGACCGAACTAGTAACAGAGTTAGTAGTGACGTTTTGTTCAACCTTAGTGGACAGTCGTGGGACGAAGGAGCAACTGTCTGACATCGGTTGTACATAACACTTTCGTTCCCAGGTCTGTCCACTTCTATAGGGAAATACAAGACGTGCTATTTCGATGTCTTGCCTTTTCAGAATAATGTCGAATGGATAGCACAATTGCCAACAATACTGGATGTCCGTGGAAAATACTTTACTGTTGCCACACAACCTAATATACTCGGCATTCCTACGTCACTTTTTAACCTTATATTTGGTGTAACCACTATTCAAATGACCTGGATGACATGGTTAAACATAAAAAGAAAGTCGTTCCACTTAACATAGACACACCTTGATATAAAAGCACGACCAACACGGTCAAGAAAGACAGACAAAGAATTGATCAAATCTTATAACACAAGATTTTGACGCGAAAATATCTGGATAAAAGTATTTGGAAACATGATTACTTTTTTGCTGAAACTAACTCATCTAATAAACAGATATTTGTACAGAGAGTAATAAAGCCCAAGTGATTGATAAAACTTATTAGTCCCTTTTAAGTTTATGTCCTAACCACTCAGAAATATCTACCATGCTTCGACAATAAGGATTTATCTATACACGAGAAAAATGTCTTGAATGTAGACTTCAGAACTAAGTATTTTTTTTACATATTCCCAGAATAAATTACAATCACATCCGCATATGTTTTCAGAAAATAGGAAACATCAAAGTTCTTCTGTGAATGTAAGTCACGATAAGAAAGTTGATATGATACTAAGCAAAATAATATATACTTGAATGCCATAATACCATCAGTGTTTACCATGAAACAGAAGCTTAAATTTGTTGACATAGATTTATTAATGCTAATGAGTTCCCTTCTATAGGATTCTATTTCATGCATTACTTTCATCAGTTTATTCAACTTATGCTTGACTGCAATGAGTCAACAGAATGATGCTCAATTACCTAACATACTGATATTTATTAAACTACCAATGATATTTAAAACGACTAATAACACAATAAAAGGTAGAAACTCCGGATTATACTGTCCTATACAAAACTATTGCTAAGTTTATGTTTGTTTACTTAACCATGAACTGGCTGGACAAATTCTTCGGAAAAATGCCCGGCAAAATATTTTAGAACTGTTGGTTAGACTTGAATTTGCTTTACAGTGGGTTGCTTTAAAAAGCAATATGTTCAATGACGTAACATTTTAAGTCTCAAAAGCCTATGCAGACGGTCTTGGGTCACCAAAACAGGGTGTAATCAGTAAACGCAGTTAAAATAGTACTTGAGGTTAGCTTTAGAGTTTACTAATATCAACTGGTTGACATCATATATTGTTACAACTCACTACATTGATTTAATATGAATACAGTATCATGCATCAAAAGAAATTGTGAGCACCAAACTTAAATATTGCTTCAAACCAGGGTTATTTTTGTCAGTAAAGCACAGACTTGTTTTTACCTAGCAGAAAATACTTTAATCACTCTCTACCATTAATTGCAAGTTACTTCTGTCTAATGAGTAAGGCATCCGTAACATGATATTTAAAGCTCTAAATAGGATGACTATGCTACAGATGGTAATAGAAGTTACATGACGCCTTTTTACTACACGGAAAACTGGGTTCACTTGTGACCTAAATGAAGTCGATTACAATTTATCCCGATTCTCCCGAGATAACGAAAATCCTGACATTAAACTCACTGATTCTTAGCAACAGTGTGTTAGAATAAATTCCGTTTAAACTGACCAAAATATAGGTATTTTTTTACAAAATCTAACCTGAGTTAACAAGGCTGGTTTCGCTGGCAGAACTCTCGAGATTGACATTTTCGTTCATTTTGCGAACAGAGTTTTCATTCACTTCTTGTCCATTATTTTTAACCTCTGTATGCAATTTACCAGTTGTGTAAACAGGCCAACTAAATCCAGGTTGCTTATAATTTAGATGATGTGGTAAACCAGATCTTGAGAAATATATATTATCCGCTTCAGTTTGCATCTGAAAAACTTTTTCTCGACAGCTAAGGAACTCATCAAATGTAATGCACCCTTTAGTGTTAGCGCCAAGTGTGTTTATAATTTCCTCGGCACATTCTGCCATGTTTAGTTTCTTACACATATTGTATAAGTCTTCACAATCTAAGCACCCATCATTATTTGAATCACAGCTTAGAAACAATTGTCTCAGTCTTTCTTCTTCCCCTGTACTGCTACTATCGCTGCCACTAGATTTTATAACTCTTTGAATACGGAATAAATACTAACCTGCTTTTCTGATCAACACATTGTATGTCAGACATATCATGAAAATTGGAAGCCATTCAAACCCAGCGCTAGTAGCATTTGCGGTCGATAACTGGGCATGAAAATGAACTCTCAAGGCTATGATGGTTATGACGCATTTAAACGTTAATGTATGCCAAGTTGTTTGTATATAAATTTGCATGTTTCGTAATTATTTGAGCATGTGTATCATCTTTAAGTGAAAGCAGTCAGATTCATCATGAATTTCAGCACTCAGTGAATGTAAGATGTATTGTACAAGTCACAAGTCACGGTTGAGAGATTTTAATTATTTATGTAAAATTTAATGCTATCGAATAAAAAGCCAATGTTAGTGACTGAAAAGAGCTATCATTTGATGTCTCTCAATATAACTGCTTTTAGGCATAATGTCCTGAGGCATCTACGCGCGCTTTTCAAACGAGAAGCTGACATGATTTACATTTCTCAAACTTTTGCTGTGTTCTTACGCAACAAAAGTACCCTTCCCGATATGAAGAAGCTATTCGGAGCCATGCGCTCGGTAGATTACTTTTTTTTGAGTTTCACCCAATTTAACAGTTAACTAGGAAAACAATAACGGTTCGTGATGACTCTTCCATTATCATGAACCTCAAAGACAACTCTGACATTCCTCTCAGTTTGCAGGACAAAAATGATGGGATGCTCTGGGGAACGTTGAACAAGAAGTTTGAACATCCTAGAATAGAGCCTTTGAGGGTCACATAGCTCACTCGAGGAACGGAATCTAAGCATCAAAATCACCCGAGGCTACTTCATGTAACACATAAGAATGATACCGACGTAGAGGATGTCCTGCTAGCTGGTCATTTACTGAGATCCGGAAGGAAAGTAAGATTAATGCCTGATATACCGTATTCTGAGCGCAATCTCATCTGAAACATCCCTGAGGAATCTCGCGAGTTTTTCCGCGGAAGAAATATCTTTGTGCAAGGTTTACCGGAAAACACGGACCCTAGTCAAGCAAACTGTGATATTAAGAAATGGAAATATATCAAGCAGTCCTTGAGGCCCAAAAACATACTTACTCAACGTTTGACGAGACTAGTCAAGAAGGACGGTGATTCTAGACCCCGGCTAATGAAGATAACTTTCCCATCCTCCCATATGGCGGCTGCAACTCTGGAGGTATTTCGTACCAACAGACGTCGGTTGCCAGCTGGAACCCACATGCACCTGGATGGGCCATATGAAGCTAGGACCAAGCACAAAGACAAGTTGGAGCTTACCGTTCTACTTGTGAACTGTCACGATGATGAAATAACGTGTAGAGGACAGGATCTACCAATTCGGCAAACCTTATATGAGTGGGCTACTTGTCCATTCACATGAGGCTCATGCAAACAAACAGGAAGAAGCTCACGCGTTTCAAATTGGAAGCATAAACTGCTTGTACATGAACGCTGCGAGCGCACCAAATAAAATGGATGGGCTATGTGAACCTAGCAATGCTAATAATGCTCATCTGATAGGAATATCTGAAATTGGATAACTTCTCAGTTTACGGACCAGGAGCTAGCAATGCCTGGGATGTCTTTGTTTCGTAGCGACGGGAAAACAGGAATCGGGGGTGGAGTAGCCGTATACAAGCGATCCTGCCTGGAGGAAACCAAGTTCACAACCATGAGTTTAACAATTTTGATGAATCCGTATGGTGCTCAGTAAGATTGTCTACCACTTCGAAGTGCCTAGTCGGGGTCATCTATAGGAGGCCCACTGCTGACGTCAAGTATGACAGCCGTATGCTGGAAGGATTTTCCAGCTCTACGCGTCTCGGATTCCCTCATACCCTGGTTCTAGGGGACTTCAATCTAACTACAGTCAATTTCGTGGAACATACGTATATTGGATGTGAAAACACAACTGAAGCTCGGTTCTTCAACCTCAATGAGGATCTGAGATTATACGAAAATGCGAAGTCGGAAACTCGTTGGAGAAACAGTCAGACACCGTCACGCTTAGACTGTATATTTACAAACGAAGAATTTCTAGTTGACAACCTTTCAATCCTGGCTCCCATGGGTAACAGCAATCACGCCATTATAGCCTTCAGTCTCCTTGATGATTTTCTTTCCGAAAATGGATTGTGTCACCTATTGACTATCAATGTGTTTAATAGCGATTTATACAAGCAATGTCCGTCATCCATCTAATTGACTGAAAAGCAAAATGTGACCCTTGAAACTTTTCACGTCTATTTTATTTTATTTCTGTTCATCTTAATATATGAAGTCTGCTTGTGTTCGTATTTATAATAATTATAATAATAATTATTATTATTATAATTATTCCTAAACATCTAAATTCTATAACTAAAAACCAATTATCTCACTGTACGCTTGAATAAATTAACTTTTCAGATTCATTTTATCACCACCATATATTTATATATATATATGTATATATATATATATAACATAGAAATTTGTATTTGATTATCCTGTGCAGTTAATTGTGACCTTCATAGCATCATTCTTAATCATTATTGCACAAATGTTTCTATTAATATCTGGTTTCACTTGTATACTATTACATGAAACTAGATGTATTTATCCGAGGGCAGTGAATGACTTTTTATGTTGCTCTATTTCCTTTTTTTTCTTTAAATTGCTGATTTACTTCAGAGGTCGATGTTCATTACACAATAATTATTATCATGGTTGAACCCTTTCACTACGTGTTCAGTTCTTTTATCTTTTTTTTTCCCATCTAAATAAATATTTTTCTGAATTTTACGTAGTTTGTAATTAAGACAATTACTTGTGTTACACCTAAATTAACTTCTCAGACTCGCTTTATCTTCACTATGTATATATGACTCATACATATTGATATTTCATTATCCTTTTCACTCAATTGAGACTTTCATGGCATCACTCCAAAATATGACTGCACAAACATTTATTCTATCGTCATATCTTACTGCAGTAATAAGTAATTTTTTCTTAACTATTTTATATTGTTTTATTTTTTATCAATCTGACGATACATACATAGTCGTTTATTCTTGTTCTGTGTTCGTAAGTACGCCTATTAAACTGTTTGCTTATTCCACGTCTCCTTTATTTCTAGTCCCATATTTTCTTCCTTTCCTTCTCGAAGCGCAACTCAATATTCTTCTCAAATACACAGAATCTGATTCATTATTATTATTCTCTTTTTCAAATATGGTAAATATGATGCTAACATTATTGAAACTTGTGTATTATTGCATTTTTGAAGAAACCCGAAATGGTTTCTTCACAACACATATTTACCCATAAGATTTTTGTGAATGATAATAATAATAATACCCCACCAACAACAGGCGCTGTAATTTCAAATGGTTGAATGTGTCAGCTTTACAAGACTATCTACAACGGGTGGATTGGGATGTCCACTCTCAGCTTGGTGTGGATGCTCATTAGTACTTCTTACTGCACACGCTCTTATATGCTACAAAGCATTCAGTTCCTCAAGCATCCTTGATCGCATGGAGAGGGTTGATATCATTTACCTTGATTTCTTAAAAGCTTTTCATAGGGTCAACCATATATGTCTTATCAATAAGCTCAAACCATTGGGTATCAGACGACCTCTAATTGACTGGCTCTCTTCATAGGGTTAACTTCAAATGATCTCAGGCTATGAAATGTCCTGGTGAGGTCCACCTGGGCTCAGTACTAGGGCCTTTTCTCTTCTTGATTTATATAAATGGTCTCCCAAAACAGACATCGTCAAACATTACTTTTTGCTGATAACGTGAAACTTTGGAGAGAGATACGCAACCAAGAGGGTATACAGGGACTTCAGGAGGATCGGACTCGGCTTCAGAGTTGAGCAGACGATGACGGACTTACCTTGAACACTTCAAAGTGTAAAGTAGTCCATCTGAGACATGTTACAAACTACAGTTACAACTTAAGAAACTCCTCTCTAGTAGTATCCCGAGTCGAAAAGTATTTAGAAGCTCTAGTACCTTACAATTTGAAGTCTTACACTAAGTGTGACAGAAATGCCTTTCGGGCAAACCTTGCACCGGTAACATTAAGGCGCATTTTTGGTCAGTTTGACGGAAGAACTTTCCACATAATCTTCAACAGTCTTATTCGTCCCCATTTAGAGTAAGGAAACATAATATTTCCTCCCTCACTCCAAAAGGATAAGGACACTCTGGAGTGTATCCAACGGCGAGCCACGAAATCAGTTCGGGGACTCAAATTCAAACCTTACGAAGAGCGCCTACAGTCACTGAACCTTTACCATTACAGTATAGGCGTATTAGAGGTGACCTTCTAATGGCTTACAGTATCCTTAACACTTGTGGATATCCCCTTAAACACCTACTTAAGCTTAGTCCCAATACAAACCCAGAAATTGAGGATGGAACATAGCAGAACGGACTGTAAACACTACTTCTACTCCTTAAGAGCTATCGAATGCTGGAATTCGCTGCCGGCCGAGCTAGTCCAAGCAGCTGCTGAGGATTCCTTTAAGAGGGAACTTGACCTATTCTTAAGGACTAAGGATAACATCTTATCATGATTTACCGATTTCTTTTCTTCTTTCCTCTGTTGTCGTTAATATACCTAGGTTCCTGCCTGTGGGTATTGGTGATCAACGGCTACTAGACATGGAGGGCCGTTAAGCGAAAGCTTCTTATATTCCGTCCACAACCATTTAAACCATTTGAACTGTCACCATTTGTTATGAAAGATACAATCTCCTAGTCATATGGTCGAGACCATGTAAACAGAGGATCCAATAGTACCAAGAACGTGTCTTAGTCTTTTACTAGAACTGCGACTTATAACCGCCTTTGTTTTTGTTTAAATATGTGCAAGCAAGCCTCAGCGCGTGCTAAAATGGGTTGCCAGGCAATTGTGTTTCGTTAATCATCAATGATATTCTGGACGTTTTCTAGTTGCTTTTTGTTGCTAGCTAAAGCTCTTCACTGTCACTTATAAACGACCCGGGACCAAAAATGGTTAAAACTCGTAGTCACCTGCGGTGGTAAAAGATACCATGACTGTTAAAC